GTATTACCCAGAAGTCAGTTCTTTTCACACGTTTTTGAGTTCAGTCTCCTGAGGAAGACTGTTGCCAGAACACTTAAACAGGCACACACTTTCATGGTGTTCTCCTGGACGGGCAAGATTCTGATGTCTCATCTGACCCAGATGGGGTACGTGTTCCTCATCTAACTTGACTTCTCTGTCTTCGGCATTAGCAAATGCTCATTTTCTACAGGCTCAACTTAAATTTCTTGGATATTTCTTGGATAGGAGGGGGAGGTTCCTTTCTCTCTAATTTTATGTGTCTCTAAAAAGGAACATACAAAGTGTCAGGGAAAGACCAGAAATGAAATCAGAAGAAGGAGGTCTTTTCTTCTCATGCTCATAGTGGGTTATCCAGATAACTTGCTCATGAATCATCATTCTCAGCCTGGAAAGATGAGAATGGGAAATCTCAAGAGCTAAGATTGTCTCTTCACCAGTAAAAGATCAGACCAGAAAGGAAATTGAGGCAGAACAGGCTCAAGATTTCCTCTAGAGTGTAGGGGAGAGATCAGGGCCAGCCTGTCTCAGTGAAACCTGTCTCCCAAGTCTTAAAAATGGCTGCTGGTGTGTTGTCTTTTAACTGGTGGAAGGAGTTCATGACTTATTAATCAGCATGTATATTTTCCAAATATGAACTAGATTTCATACAAAGACCCATTTTATAGTGTCTACGAGGGCACTGTAACACCACTTTTTCCTAGCACTGTTGTTTGTGCTAACAAATCACAGCAGGTCAAACAAAGACTGCTAATAAATTCAACAACTAACTCCAAATGTAACATATACAAAACAGGAATAAAATGTCACATTAAAGAAACATCACAACCTTCTTATGTTCTCAAATTTAGCATCATTTTTTAAAAAGGCAATGCATAAGAGACAAGGTCTAAGCAATTAACAAAGACAAAGCATAAAATTCAAGCTAAAGGCAATTAACAAAGTCAGAAAATTCAAAGCGTACACAACTGACAAACAAGGATAATAATTTTCGATTACCTAAACAAGCCACAATCCAGAATCTATGAAACAAAAGTAAAAACATAAGAGGCCTAGTATCTCAGTGGGACCTCCAAGTGCTATAGGGAGCATAATATAGGGATGATATAGAATCTCCCAATAATCCAAATAATATAATAGAAATATTATAACTTCCAACCTCCTAGATGTTTGCAACACTGAATTCATGTTCTATAAAATTGAAGAATTCTAAGAACAAGAGTTAATAATAGTAAATATTTATTCAGAGAAAGAGTATCTAAGAGGGTCAGAAGGGGGTCTCAAGTAGGCAATCTAGAGAACCTGCTGCCCAAGGAAGTTTATAGAGTAAAACTATGAGGTAAGGCAGCTATAAAGTGGACAAAAGTATAGTTTACTAATAAGATTGTAAATCCAAGGGAAAATCACAGGTAGGTATGAGGTGGGACAAAACTATAGTTAGCCAATAAGATTACAAGTATGATCACTTAGGTAACATTGATTAAATGGGGATTGTGGGGAAGCAGGTCACATAACAAGTGTACATGGAAGGAACAAGAACTTTTCCCGAAAGGGAGGAGCCAGTGAGGTTTTGGTCCCCCACCTGAGGTGATTGATGCCGGTTTAGAATGTCAATCACTACCGCTCATCCTTAGGGGAGTATGTGGATGTGGTCATTTCTCTGTTCTGAGGCCTGACATTCAATGAATGCACCTCCAGCCACAGTTGTCTCTTGCACCAACTTATTCCAAGTACCCAGCCCTGTCTGACAGCCTATAGCATTTCTAAATAACTTAATTATCTGAATAATATCACACCCAGGGGCTGGGGATTTAGCTCAGTGGCATAAGCACCTGCCTTGCAAGCAGGTGGTCATGAGTTCAATCCCCGGTACCAATTTAAAAAAAAAAAATCACACCCAGATTTCCTCAGGAATGCTAAAATTTCTTAAATCAGCTTAGATAAAGGAGTAAATTGAGCAAAATCTAGAGAATTTTTTTTTGAGACGAAGTCTTGCTATGTAATTCAGTTTAAGCTGGCCTTCAGCTCACTGTGTAGCACAGGCTGACCTCAAATTTACAGGGATCCTCCTGCCTCAGCCTCGGAGCCCTGGGATTATAGACTTGTGCCATTATGCCTGGCTTGTCCTGGGCTTTTTAATGTCACCTCTAAATTCTAGTTAAGAACAAACTCATTCCTTCGTTTGGCTTCTCTCTCACTATCTGTATTTTAGGGAACAAAGGCAAAATAAGCCAACTGACACTTTGAGCATATTTCCTGGATATTTTAGCTGGAGTTACAAGATACATTCAGTTTTCCCAACAGGTCTCTTGAGGTCTGTCAAGCATCTCTCACCACCTACTCCAAACTTTATGTGTTAAGTTTTAGCAAGGCAGCACCACACTTCCAAATTCCAAATTCTGTTTCCACTTCTCTGTTTCTGCATAACAAATGTTTTTAAGCTTACTGATAAGGCCACGCATCTTACTACATCCACTGAGTTTGTGGATTAGGAACTTGGCCCTGGCACAGAGGTCATCTATGTTCCCTGATGTCAGGACTTCATGGCTGGGGATGCAACAGCTGAAGTTGGAGAATCCACCTCCCTGGTAACTTTGCAGGCTCTCTCCTGAATGGGTCAGCTGGAAGGCTGGGACCCGCCGAGTTTTTTGCTTGTTTTTGAGACAGGTCTCACTATGTATCCCAGGCTGGCCTTGAACTCACAAAGATCTTCCTACATCGGCTTCTTGGATGCTGGGATTACAGGTGTGTGCCACTACGCCTGCCTGGATCTGATGGCTTTCCTGGCAGCACACCTGAATGTGGCTTCTCAAGCATGGTGGCCTTAGGTGGCAGGGCTTACACAGGGGCTCAGGAAAAAAACAAACTGCTAAAGGGCTATAGAGCTAATGAAGATCAGGGTGAAGCGCACAACTTTTGGCAGAGTTTTCCCGGAAAACAAAAACTCCCTAGAGAGGAGTTGGGAGTTGTAGGCTGGGAAGAAAGTGTCCTAGTCCTGTGTGTGTGTGTGTGTGTGTGTGTGTGTGCGCGCGCGCGCGTGTGTGCGCGCATGCAATTCATAAGAAGGCAAATGGGTTTTCTGGGAGGAGCCAGATTGGAATGAAGGTGAACGGTGTGTGTAAGCTGGATTTGCTCACGCAGCCCTGGGGTCTCCAGCTTCACCGGGTGCCTGGGAATGACAAACTGTCCCAGCATGTGGGGGCATGTTCAGAGACCACCACTCAGGCTGTGGTTGCCAGAAGGGAGCAAGTGGCATAGCAGGTTGGACAGTGGCCCTAAAAGTGTTACAACCCACCAAACCCCTGTATCTGTGAATGTGACCTTTTAAGAAATGGATATTTTTCTAAAATAAGGAGCTTGAGACGAGATTCTCATATTGGATTTACCAGAGGCTTTAAACCCAAGGGCATATGTGCTCATAGGAGAAAAGAGGGGGAGATTAGAGACAGAGATGCAGATGGAAAGGTGAGGTGAAGACAGGGCAGAGTGGGGAGTACACAGCCAGGGGACACCAAGGATTGCCAGAAGCTGCAGGGGCTACTGGGGGGCTTTCTCAGAGCCTCTGAAAGGAGCCAACCCTGCCAACACTGATTTCAGGCTTCTTGTTGCCATACTGTGATAAAGTAAGTTGTGTCAGTGTAAGTCACCCAGTTTGTGATGATTTGTTAGGGCAGCATCAGGAAACTAATACAGACAGATTGTGCTGGGCATGGTGACCCACACCTATAATCCCAGAACTCTGGGAGGCTGAGGCAGGAGGATTGCAGGTTAGAGCCCAGCCTTGGCAACTTAGTGACCTCAAGAGACTCTGTTAGGGGTGGTGAGGAGAGGGGGAAAAGACACAGAGAGATGAGATGGAGACAGAGACAGAGACATAAACAAAGGTAGACTGGGTAGGAGACAGGGGAGACTGAAGGCCTCAGAAGTTGGAGGAAGAGGGAAAGGAAAAGGAAGCTGGCATTACCTTTCTCCAGTTTATGGTGCCCCCTCCGTCCTTTCCTCCAGTTCCCACCCTTCAACCTTTTACCATTCTGGCCACAATTCCATGGCCTCCCCTGCCTCTTTCCAACATCTCCGCACTGGCTCCTTCTGGGCCTAAGCCAATGAGCGCTTTCTTGGAACTCCCTGGACCGCGTGGCCTGACCTGTGGTGCAGATTCTCTCTCCTGCACCATGCAGTCAGCATTGCCCTCTCGGCTCTTGCTTCTTTGAAGTGCTTTTCACACACTGAAGTTTAACAATGTTACTCTTTCTCTGTTCAGCATCCCTTCCCTCTTGCCCCTCCTTCAGCTGAGTTTATACCAAAATCTCGTCAGAGCTGAAGAACAGTATCTCCCCACCACAGACCGTCCCCAGCCCGGGTTCCTCACAGGAACCTGACAGTGTAACTAATACCTCACAGCCTTCCACAGTCCCACTGCCAGTCAGTAACCTGTGCATAAACCTGGACACGTCACCACCATTTCTGTGCCTGGCTTCCTTGTAGGTAAAAAGGTCACAGTGGATTCCTTTCCTCCTCTGTCTCCTTTCCTCCATTCATTTGAAAGTTGCTTGTTGAGAGCATGAGCCATAAATCCTGGGGATTCAGGGTGAACAACACAGCTCCCGGGAGCCCACGTTTTATAGTTTCAAAATTGTTTTTGGGGGAGATCTGTTAGGTACCACACAAATCTTTCCTTTTAGGGAAACAGTTTTGACTGGAGTAAGGAAGAGTAGGAGTGGCCCACCAAGGCCTCGGCTTCCAGGACAAGGCAAGGCCCTGCCCTGAAGAGCCTCTCAGCTATTCCTTCCAGCTCTGGGCGGCTATGGGCCCCCGGAAAGGACCTACTGGTGCTGAGGACAGTCACCTTCCCCAGGAAGGTAAAGGTGGGGATTTAATTTCCCTGGAGAAGTGGCAGTATCTGGAAGCTCTGAGCAAAACCTTACACAGACACTCCAGGATCTGTCTGATGCCACAATCAGAAGGCAGACAAAGGGAACACCTGGTGTGGTATTTGCTTTTATTATCTCCAGTAAGTCACAGATCCCGGGAAGGTGAGACCAGGAAAGAGAACAGACGTGGGACCCTGGGGTACTTGGAGCTGAGGCCAGAAGGGTGGTGGTGGTGTCCAGAGCCGACAGACAAGCCCATGAGTCTGCGCCCTCAGACACGTGGGATCAGCGCAGGGTTGGGGTGGTGCAGGGCTGGTTTTCAGCAGATAGGGAAAGTGTCCAAGAGATGTGACAGTCTTTGGACACAAGGAACAGAAAATGGCATTGAAAAGACAAGTCTGGGAGACCTGGGGAAGGAGGGCTGACAGCCAGGTCCCTCTGCTCATCCCCACCCACAGCACCCTTACAAGCAGCTCCTGCTTTTTCTCAAGAGGCCACAGGGGGGCAGCAAAGTGCTTGTGTAAAGTCCCGCCCTCCTCACCCCCTACATCCCTGACAAACAGGCCACTGGGGACTCGTCTCCAGGTGGGCCAAGGAGGAAAATGTGTCTGATCCTGACTCTCCCAGCAGTAGAAGAACTGAGTTTCTTGGGGGCTTCTCCAGGCTATGCAGCAGCCACACACGTAAACTCAGGAATTGGTGCGGGCAGCCAGGCACTCGGTTGTACTTCGTGGGCCCCAATCTGCCACTTCCTCCCATTAGTAGACTTCTGGCCTCCCATCACAGATGGGCAGATTCAGACTGCTTTCTAGCTTTATAAAATCTAACCTACCTCTTCCCAGGTTCAGCTCTACCCAGGCCAAAAATGTGAGGGGCCAGCGCCATTCTTCCTCTACAGTCTGTGGCACCTGCCCAGCCTCAGTTTCCTGTAATCCTGCATTCCTCATAATCCTGCATTCCTCTTCCCCCACCCTTCCTCCTTCCCAGACCCATCACGTGTTCCTGGAATGCCTCACTGCCCGGGTTGGAGGTCAGACAGGCAAGCTCGAGCTCCAGCTTTGTAGTCAGCTCAGCAGTGCTGGCCTCAGGTGCTCAGAACCCAAGGCAGGCAGCTGGCGGCTGCTGCACCCTCCTTGGGGGCCGCTCCATTTCCACATAAGAGTCTTCCTTGAGACAGCCATGGTTTGTGCCTGGGTCACTTCACTGATGTCTGAGGGCTTGCCTCTCCTCCAATCCCAGCCTTGGAAAAGTTAATTCTACTTGTGCATAAATTAGCCAATGAAGAGGAGGATTTGGACAAGTGGGAAGCTGTCCAGGGTGAGAACAGCAGGCCAAGGGGGTTGGGGGGTGGCAAACCCTTCCAGAACTTGAGGCCAGAGATTAGGAAAGGAAGCTAAGGGAGCTTGAGGACCAGGAAGTCAATGGGAATAAGAATCCTGATGTTTCTTCCTGCCCCAGACTGGTCATAGACTTCTATTTTGTAGATAGGAAAACTGAGTCACAGACAGCAAGAAATACTTGGTACACTTGATTAGTATACTATTGGTATACTAATACATCAGCCCTGGTGGCATTGAAGCTAGGAGCCAGCAACTAGAAATCCTGCCTCTCAGTTGTGTCCAGGGGGTGAAAACCTCAGAATTCAAAATCCAGTGGGCATGGGATGGGGGACATGCAAAGCCAGGTGCCGCTCATGGCAAGTCCTCAGACACGGGGCTGGACACCAGCCTCTCGGCTCCCACTTTCTTTCCAGCCCATTCAGACTGGTGGGAAACTTTTCAGCCGCGTGTGTGTGTGTGTGTGTGTGTGTGTGTGTGTGTGTGTGCGCGCGCGCGCGCGCGCACGCTTGTGTATCTGTTGCTGGGGACTGAACCCAGGGCTTTGTGCATGCTAGACCAGTGCTTTACCATTCCGCCGCACATCCCAAAAGTGATGCTTTTTGAGTGAGGTGGCCCTGGATGTGAACACTAGATCCACCACTGCTACCCGTCTGGCTTTGGACTCAAGCCCTTCTGACTCCCTGGGCTGTGCCCTCTGTGATGGGGACGTGCGGAACTCTGCCTTTGCAGCACTGCTGCAGGGATTAATTTAGACCAGCACACAGTGGGCGTCTCCTCCATGCCCCAGTTGCCTTCATCTCACACGTATCACCTGCTGGTCCTTGGTTTCTTGTCTCCTCAAATACCCAAGATGGAACAAAACTTCAAATACTCCTGCAGTATTTCTTGAAAGCTAGAAGTAGGAAAGGGAGGAGGGTGAACAAGTAGCATACCTTGTTAGCTTTCCTAGGGGTGGGCAGAGCCCCTGGCATACAAAGAGCAGAGCGCCAAAAATTACAGGTTGAGGGTGGGTCCTAGTATCCACCAGGAGCCTCCTTGCCTCCACTCAGTAACTTTCCACTGGCCCGAGCTGGCCACATGCTGGCTGCACACTGCCCAGGTGCTCGGGGCTGACACACACCCTGCCTGAGATCCCGGCCACCTGCAGGCTGATAAGGAGCCTGGGCCTCATCACATGGGCACTGACCCTGGCTGTTAGCATCAGCTGGATAACTTCCAAATTGGAGAGATGTGGAGATAGGGGGGCGGGGACTCGGGGATTCTGGGCTGAGTGGGAGGGGCCCCGGGGGTGTAGGCGGGTGGACACTGCCAACTCCTAAGGAGACCTGGTCTCTCAGGAGACCTGGCTGGGGATAAGCCAGCAAGTGGCAGCACATGGGGACTGTCTTAGGAAATGAGACGTGGTGGAGGGACGCAGGCACATCTGTGGGTAGGGCTGTGGGCAGAACAGGTTCCCTCCACATGGGGCTGGCCCAGCAGCCAGAGCTGCTTCCTCCTAGAACACCCTCTGGAGACCCCAGCACACCCCGCTCCTCCTCAGACCTGGGGGAGCAGCCCAGGGGAGGCTGAGGAGGTGACAATGTTCCCCCACCCTAAGTGGACGCAGGTCTGGGTAGTTGCCCCTGCTGCAGGGCCTGGTCTCTCCAGTTCACTTTCTTGCCCACCTCCCTGGGGCAGAAGCCCAAGACAGACCCTCACTTAGGTGCAGTGCCCCCTGCCCCTACCTCCTCCCCAGAGTGCCCTGTCCTGATCCAGGAGGGCAAATTCAAGCAAACAGCAGAACTATGACTTCTGACCCTGTCTGTAGAGTCCCTGGACCAAATGCTGGTCCTGGAACCGAGGAGGTGGGGCCTGACAGTATCCCCTGCCGCTTCTTCTGAAGGGGCATTGTGTGGCCTGGAACAGAGCAGGGTGGGCAGGCTGCACACAGGACAGTGTGCCCCAGGGCCACTCCAGCCCCAGGAGGAATCTCAGTGTGGCGTGGCTTCCTGGGGTCTCCTTCTCAACTCTGAGGCCCTCTTGAGCTCCTCCCGCTATCCTTTGGGTCCTCAAACCCAGGGGGCTCTTTCAGCCTTGACTTCCCAGTTTGGGAGACGTAATTGAGAGGAGAGTGGCACAGGGGACAGTGTGGCCTCAGTTCTGTGGCACCCAAAGGTGGCGAATGTACAAGCTGCAGAGGGTGCGCGAGGGCTGGCTGAGGGACTGCGTGGCTGGCCACAGGCTGGCTGCAGCGAGTTTATATCTGGTCTGGCAGGAGCACAGGGAAGGTTACGGACTGGGAAGGAGCATTTCCTGGAGGAGGGGAGCGGGGTGGCAAGGACTCCTCATTCCCGATTGGTGCCAAAAAGCTGAAGGAAAAAGGTGAAGATGTAGATGATGTCCAGGTAGATGTTGAGGGCTCCAAATATATACTCCTCGGGACTCAGCGAGTGGCGTCGGCTACCCATCAGCAACTGGGTGTCGAATGCCAGGAACTGGGGAAGCGAGGGGAGAGAAGACAGAGGTCCAGACAGTGAGACATGGCTATAGCAGCCCACACACCTCACACGGGCCCACCCCAATTTTATTATCCTTACTGCAGCCTGGCTGCTTGCTAACTCTCATGTGAAAGCTTAGAATCTGAAATTTTCTAACCCTTTCATCACTAATTCTGGTCAACACCTATTTATTAAGCACCTACTATGTACCAGGCATGAGCATACACAGAAAAAAAGAGACAAGATTTGTACTGAGTCTGGCAGGAAGTGTTAGTATGCATACAAGTAAAAACAATACAAGGTGAGAGAGACAGAGAGAGAGAGAGAGAGAGAGAGAGAGAGAGAGAGAGAGCGCTGGCCTATGTGAGTATGGCAGGGAGCTGGGAGAGGCTTCCTCAGGGGCGGACCTGCAAACTGAGTGCAGTGTTTTAGCATTCTTTCAGGGCCCTCCTTGCTCTGGGTTAGATGATAAGCCAAGGCGGCAGCAGCAAGCAGCAACTGAACAGCTGTTACACGCTTCACGGACATCAGCCCATCCGCCCTACAGACTTTCCTTTCCAGTAGGACTTATCCCTAGAGGAAATCAAGGCCAGAGGTGTTAAGTGTTTGTCCAAGTTTATACAGTTGGGAAATTGCAAGGCCATGATGTGACCTGAGCTGCTGGCTCCAGAGCCCCAAGCTCAAGCATTCTGCTCTGCTGCTCATGGGCAGCACTCGGGGTTAATGTGTTTCCTCCTAGGAAACTGGCTCTTCTCTGTGAGGCCTTTGCAGCCCAAGGGACTCTAAACCAACTCCCTTAGTGACAACTCTGCTTGGCTGCCCACTGTTCCTACCAGGTCTTCTCACTAACTACACTGACACCCCTGCTCCCGTGCCGCTTTCCTGGGGGGTCCAAGGTTAGGCGGCAGAGTCCCCCAACCACAAGGCAGTATATAAATTTTGGTAGGCATGGTGCACTTTTCTGGGGAAGAGGCCAAAAAGTCCACTAGTTCTGGCTATGGTGGCACACAACTGTAATCCTAGCACTCAGGAGACTGAGGCAGGAGGATTGCACAAGTTCAAAGACAGAATGAGCTACATAGTGAGACCCTGTCTCAAGCCCCAACTCCAAGTCTATGAGTGTCTCAAAAGGTGAGAATTGTTCTTTTTTTTCTTTTTTTAAGACAGGGTCTTGGGCCGAGGATGTAGCTCAGCGGTGCTGCGCCTGCCTGGCAAGCGTGAGGCCCTGAGTTTGGTTCCTGGTACCAAAAAGAAAATACTAAAAAAAAAAAAGACAGGGTCTTATGCAGTTCAGTTTGGCCTTGAACTCACAGTGATCCTCTTGTCTCAGCCTCCCAAGTGCTGAGATTACAGGTGTGTGCCACCACACCCAGCCGAGAACTGCTGTTCTTCACAGGATTGGGTTTCTTTAGATCCACGCATATTGTTAAGGCTAGGTCCCGCTTTTCTATCACTTGTATGTGGAACCTTATATTCTCTGAACCCCTCAAAACTCACTACACAAAAAAATTCATGGGGTACCAGGTGCAAGGCAGGGATTTGATGAGGGCTGAGCCTGCTTTGGGGACACAGTTCACAAAACTGTGCTGCTTTGGAGGGCTCACGGCTCAGCAGGGACCATTTATAGTTAGTGATAAGAAAACTCAGGGCTGTAGAGGAGGGGCCCTAACTGGACAGGATGTTGTGGGGCAGAGGACAGAAGCAGGATAAGTAGACGTTTTCTGGTCTAAGGGGGCAGTCTTGCACAAGGCAAACCTTGTATTGCTTTCAATGGTACAAATATCCACTGTGGGACGCATGCCGAAGGCCCACCACCCAAGGGGGACCCTGAAGACCTGAGAGGTCACTGTAAAGAGTCAGGCATTTGGTGTGGCAGAGCACTGTGGGAAGAGCAGGGGACAAAGCTGCCTAGAAACTTGCACTTTGCCCTTTCCCTCATCCCAGCCACCAACTCCTCCGACCTCTAGGACTCAGACTCCTGGGAAGTGCTTCAGATCCAGCTCTGTGGAAAACCTGGGAAAATCCTCGCTTCCATGCCAACGTCCTCAGCACACAGAGGGCCAGAGGCTTCAACGGGGCCTCCAACGTGGGACAGAGGACAGGAAGGCAGATCACGCTTGCAGTGGGGCGGAGAGGGGTGACTATGAGCTCAGCACTGAGCAGCAGCCTGGCTTGGACCGCTGCCTTGCCACTCACTAGCAGGGAAACTTGGACAAGACAGTCAGTCTCTCTGTGCCAGTGAGTAGCTAGCTGTGAAAAGAAGGGAAGAGTGCTTGGCCCATGAGATTGTTATGAGAGAGAGAGAGAGCACGCAGGGTGTCGAGCTTGGTGTCTGACACACAGTCAGCCTTAATGAATGGTAGCTACTGCTAGGGTTTTATTGTTATTGTCTGCAGAAGACAGGTGCCCTCTTAAGAACAGGTGATGCTGCCAGGGATTCAGGTGGCTCCAGTGTCACATCAGGGAGGCAGACATGAGCCCAGGGAAGCTGTGTAGCTTTGGCCAGGACTAAGGGGGTCTGCATGGGTGTCTCAGGCAGTACTGAGGGCTGAACACTGGGGAACATGGGATGGAGTTAGGATGCCTGGGCTTGGGTCCTGACTCCAACTCTCAATGGTCAATTAATCTATTTGACTTCAGAGTCCTCATCTACAAAATGTGACAGTTAACGACGCCCATGTCCACATTCGGCAGTGGAGAACGGAACCGACGACTGGTATTTGTTAATATAATTTTACTCTGTTGTACTCTGCTTGAATTTGACTTGAGTTCCCAAGTCACTTTTCCTTCTGTAGAAAGTACAAGCAAGAGGAGGACCTGCTTAAATGCTACGGGCTGGTTAGCAGTCACAGCTGCCAGCCTAAGTTAATAAACTGCTGATCTTGCTTATCAGTCAGTAGCTTGCTTGGTTGATTTCCCAGAGCCTGGTCACCCCTGAGTGAGCTAATGAAATGGAATCTCTCAACCTAGAAGGCTTGAAGCTGATCAGGTATGGGGGTGGCCTCTCCAAAAAGCACCCATCCAGGAGGCTTCCTAGAGCAGCCAGCTGGCTCTTCTCTTGGGGAGAAGAGGAATTTCTGCCTCTGCCCTTGGCCTGTGGCCATGGATGCTTATCTATGTGGTGCTGTATGGGATGATCTGCCCCAAATTTCAACCCTGGTACCATCATCCATCACTGCAACCTGTGACTCAACTAAAGGCTTTTCAGTAATTTATTCTCAATAATATTTGCTGAGCACCTACGATGTTCCAGTGAATACGCCCTCTAGAACTGATAGCTTAATGAAAACAAAAGACATTGTTAGAGACTGTGCTATGGGCATGCATGCGTTACTGGGGACTGTGATCTGCTGGTGTCTCCCTGGAAGATGGAAAGCACTAGCTGGTCTCTCAGGTGAAAGCAGGTATCCTGGTCAGGCCTAACATCTTAGTGGGGGGCTAAGATCAGTTGAGAGCTAGTGACTGAGTTGGCTGCCGACACCTAAAAGGTCAGCAGGTGCTTGAGTCAGTAGCCAACGGAGCATGAGACCCTTCAGAAAGAGTTTGTGGGATGGGCTGTGGGGCATCAGAAGGACTAGTATGCTATTAACTCCTGTTGGAAGATCCTTGCCTTCTCCAATTCTTTGTTTCATTTCAGTCTCCCAATTTGTCCTGGGAGATGGACTGTGTCACTGTTTTTCATCTGAAGAAAAGAATCTCCAAGAGGTGAGTGGCTTGCGATGGTCACTGGCCTAGGGCCAGACCCAGGTTTCCCCAGATCCTGTGCTGATGGAACTGGAGGCAGAGTGGCCTTTCAGGAGGCAGGAGGGCCCACCACAGTGCAGAGGCTTGCCACCGATCGGGGTACACCTGCTCAGGGCCCAGCCGCACATCTGGCCTGATGCTGCTGTGTCCCCAGACAGGGCCTCAGAGATAAGGCTGATGTTCTCTGGGACAGCCACGCATGGAAAGGCCAGCTCAGAGCCACCAACAGGCAGGCAATGAATACAAAGAGCTGGGGTTGCAATGTGTTGAACTAGCATAAAAAGGAACTGATGAACCACATCTGTCCTACAGAAATGCCAGCCTGGGTGTGCAGAGGAGCGTACCAGTTCATTCCTCCAGTGTTGGTTCTAACAGCGATTCGCTGGAAAGGGCCCAGCTATCCACAGGGGGTTGGTAAACGAACCGACCACAGTACTGAGCATGCAGCATCCTGCTATGTGCTGTTATGAGAGAAAAGCAGGCAGCAGAAAAAACCTGTTTCATGTGGCTCCACAAAGCTAGACATGTCACTGGCGCTTAGATGGCACATAACTATTTGGAAAGGTCTAGAAGGACAGACAGCTGCCTGGTGGCCACCACTGGGGAAGACATTGAGGGATATGGTCACAATGATGTTTATATTTAAGATTATTTTAAAATGACATTTGAATATGAATGTTATGAAGTTAGAAATTAAAAATAGAAGGGGAAGAAAATAACACACTCTGTCATTTGGTGCTCACCATGGACCTTTGTGACAAGTGTTGTATCACCATCTCCATCATTGCTGAGGAGACTGAGGCACACAAGATCTAAGTACCTTGCACACTTCACACAGCCAATAGGATGGCTCACATCTCCTTATTACAGGTCTCAAGAGAAGCAAACCTGGCATTCGTGTGCACGTGCCCATGTGTGTGCAGAAGGCTGGAAGGCGGGAAGAGAAGCAAACGGCTCCCACTGGGTGCAGTGCGGCTTCCTGGGGCAATGCAGAGCACGCTGGCCTCACCCTGTCCTGCCACCACATTTTGGACTGGAGGGTGGGCTGGGCTTTGGGGATTCTTAGGAGCAGTGACTGTGTGTCCATGCTGGGCTGAAGGACAGGTGGGGCAGCAGGAGAGTGAGAAGAGGCCATGGGCAGGGAGCCTAGCTCTGCCTCTTGCCTGATGCCAACAGAAGGCGCTTCCCCTCATTGACCTCAGAGTCAGAACTCTCAAAAGCACAGCCAACATTTGCAACCCCAGGCAGGTCAC